AAGAAGAAGGTGAGAAAATTGAAGTCTAAGAGGAGAGTAACAGGTTCAGTTTACGGTGACATCTGCAGACCTCACTTCCTCTCCTTCTGAAGAGTTCTGAAGTCAATGAGCAGAGGCACGAGGGACCCAAAGCCCAGGCCAGTCCGCTGTTGCCTGGCAACAGGTGCCTGGGAAGGATGGGGAGCAGTCTCTGTTCTCCCTCATGATGGGCACTGCCATGAAGGTGGCTAAGGCTTCCCTGGAAGAGAAGGAAGCAGAAGAGACAGGCACACACTCGTCAGGCACACAGTACGTGCTCACCGTCAGCCCTGTGTCCATGGCTTCTGATCCAACCACCTGCCGAATGAGTCGTCGTCTCAAGCTGGCTGAAGGTAACAGGAGGACGTATGGAGGTCATGTACAACTACTGTGCTATTTTCTACAAGGGACTTGAGCATTCCCGGGGCTGTGGGAACATTCCCCAAGGATGTAGGGGGTCAGCGGCACTATGGAGGAGCATCTTCCAGTTGAGAGGACACAATAGATCCTTTCTGTGAAAATGGGTCTAGGAACCCCCTTTATTCACCTGACTTTTTTTTTAAGGTCTTGCTACAGAGCCCAGGCTGGCCTGGGAAGTCACAGTCCCCCTGTATCTGCCTCTAAGTGTTTGAATTATAGGTGAGTACCACCACACTCAGCTAGAAGCCCTTACTGAGGAGGCTTGTGGTCAGAAGGGCTGAAAATGCAAACTCTTGGCTGCAAAATGCAAATGATGTTAGACATCCAGACCAGGGATTCTCCAGGGAGACTTGGAGAATGTGTGGTGTTCTGCCTCCAGCGGGTAAATGCTGTTTTGCTAACGTCCAGTCCCAATCTGCCAGGGTTCAGGATCAAAGACCTAGCATGTTCGTGTCCTGGACTGCTGTTTTTCACAGCTCTCCAGGAATCTGTCCTTAAATTTTGATATCCAGAATTTCATCACTTCTCATCACCTCCACCATAAACTCAAAGCAAGCTAACGGTATCCCTAGCCTGGTTGAATTCAAGTCTCCTTAATGGACGTCCTACCTTTTCTAGCTCCCTAATGTTGAGTCAAAAAATACCAGCTGAGGTAACCCTTGCAAGAGCTGTGCAAGATCACAGGATTCCTTGGTTCAAGACTTACCAGTGAGAGGCAGAAGAATCTCCGAGTTCGAGGCCAGTCTGGTTCAGGACGCCCAGGGCTACACAGAGAAATCCTCGTCTGGAGAAGCAGGGGGGTTGGGGGGAATGTGGAGGATACAGCAGTGACTCCTCATCGCACTTAAGACTGAAAGCCAAAGTCAGAGTGTAGCTCAGTGGTAGAGTGCTCACCCATCATGCATGAAGCCTTGAGTGTAAGTCTTATTACCAGAGGGGGAAGGGGAAAGCCTGATTCCTCCGTGGAACTAACAAGGAGTTGTGCAATCCTTCCCTATCATTCCAGGCACAGCCTTCCTCAGGGCCTTTGCACAGGCTCTTTCTGCCCCCCCACCCCTTATTTCCCAATCTGGCATGTTCCTCCTCCTCACACCTACAAGGCTAACTCTTCCATGCATCTGGAGTCTCTGTTCAGATGCAGCTTTCCCAAGGCGCACTCTGACCACCCAAAACAAAATGGCGACCTGTTCCTCCACACATCTTCCTCACTGGTTTCCTGCATGCGTCTTCCTACATACTTAATGCCATTTCCCACTATGTTTGTGTGCTAAATACTTTAGTCTTCATTATTCATTTATGTATCTGAGCATCCAGTAAGATGAAAGATCTGTCTATCTATCTATCTATCTATCTATCTATCTATCTATCTATCTATCTATCTACAGACACACACACACACACACACACACACACACACACACAGAGTGAACCACAGAACCATGGCTGTTCACTCTCTTGGAATAGTTATTTTAGGTTAACATTTTAAATAAATCTCACAAGTATGTAATGCCTGAGTAGTTAAAATAAATTGTATCTGCCATTACATAGATGTTTCTTTCCAGTGTAAACGTCTCAAGAAATAAAATCCTGTGTGTTTATCTGGGCATCAACTTATTTTTGTGAATGAGCTGAGCCCCTGTGAGAATGGAAGTGGCTGGAATGCAATGTCCTGTTTCTCTCATGGACAAATCATCCAGATACCGGATCGTTTAGAAGCAGCCGGCTTCCGACACCCAGGAGCTCCTTTGTGTGGTATGAAAGCTGCCCTCTGCACATGGTCTCAGGAGGCTCATGAAGCAATCAGAGATCTGCAGGGCAGGAACAGAGTGTTCTTTGAAACTCCTCAGACAGGCAGTCGGGCCCTTCTTCCCTTAGTATCCTAATGGGGAAGTATGTCAGCTTGGACAGTAATGAGCCTGCGTGGGAATTCCCCCTTCCCTTTGGTCTCCCATATTAAGGAGCTTCATCCGGGTTAAAGACAGGTCATTCCCATCCATAGCTTCTTGAACTAGATTCGGGATGCCTGGGAAGTCGAGTTTTGGAGAACGGGTGAAATGAATCTTAAGTTCTCCAGCCCACTTCCAAGACAATTTTTAAAACAAGCTGCGATAAAAGCTATGGCCCTGCTGTTTCATGGAATTACCAATAGATGGCAGCACAGGACTCGGCTTCACCAATTAGTGGCTTCACACTGGCTTCTGCTGACGGTAGTCAGCTTCTTCATCTATTTGACGTGGGCAATTGAATCTTGGGGGTTTTTTTTCTCTCTCCTGTTTCTAGAATAAGCTTCTCGGCGACCTCAAACCACAGTCAACAAATCAACCATGCCGCTGGGACCTGGAAAGAACAACCAGGAAACTCAAAACAAAAAACAAAACAAAACTGTCCCAGCAATTTGCAGGGACATCAAGATCTCCGCCAGCTGACAGTCGGCAAACCAAGCTGGAGACCAGCACTGTGCAGAAGGGCGTGTTGAAAGGAGCAAAGAGGTCTCCATTTTTGTTGACTTGCTCTGCCAAGATCCCCAGGTCTAAACCCGGAGAGGTTGAACTGGGACATGTGGAGTGGAGGCTTCTGACCTGGTCCCCACAGTTCTCTCCAGTCCTAGGTGTCTACTGTGAGTAGAAAATTTTCAGTAGATACAGTAGCTATCGGTCTCCAAGAGAGAACAAAATCATCCCTTCTACATAGTACACTGTTCGTATGTATTTAAAAACAAACAAAAAACCCAGGCCAACCCAGGCATGATGGTCCACACCTGAAATCCTGGTGCTCAGAAGACTGAGGCAGGAGCATCATGAACTTGAAGCAAGCCTAGGCTGCATAGTGAGACCTTGACTCAAAATACCAAGCCAAAAAAGAAAAGGAAAACAAGACAGAGGATCCCAACAGACAAATAGACAAGAAGCCTTCATAATAAGAGCAAAACAAAACCAAAAAAAAACTGCTTTGGTGTTTTAAGACAGGGTCTTGTTCACTCTTTAGCCCAGGTTGGCCTTGAACTCCCAGCAAGATGCCAGTCTTAGCCTCCCAAGCGGTAAAATTACAGGTGTGAGTTCCCATGTGTGACACCAAATATCTCTTAAGAGAAAGGAAACCAAAACCTCTTGAGTCTGGCTCGTTAGAGCTGGCTTTCATAAACCACAGGTCAGAGTTTTGTTTGAGAAATCGACTCTCTAAGGCCATAATAAGCACTATATCATGGGATGGGTTTCAACTAGATCAGAGTACATCACAGTACACCGAGTCCCGATGATAACGGTTCTTGCTGTGGGCCACAATAAAGACAACTTGCTTAGTTCTGCTGTGGAGGGCCCCGTCTGCTTCTAGCCTCTGCGTAGTTATCTGTAGTTGAACATCAACAAAACCATCGCTACCCCAAAGTGTCATTTAATTGATACAAGACGTAAACGGACTGAGTGGCATGAAATAGAAACCTACTTAAATGTCTCCTCAAAGATAGGCGAACAAATACAGGGACTCAGACTTACTAATCTTTATCCCAATTCTCATGTACCCACAATCCCCATACTCCTCTGTCCTAGGCTTATGATGCACTAAAATTTTAGCTTAGAAAAACCTACTCTCTGGTTAAACATTTGAGTGTCTTAAGGGACCCTGGTAGATAAAAGGAGAGAAGCGGCCCAGGAGAAGCAGTAGGTTACAGTGGGGATTGTATAAGAAATATATCATGTGGAAAGGTTTGAGACAGGATGTCACTGTGTCGCCCAGACTGTCCTCAAGCTAACAGCAATCCTCCTGCCTCAGCCTCTCAAATGCTAGGATTACAGTGTGTAACCCCACGTTCAGGAAAGTTGATGATGTCAAAGAAGGAAGAAAAAAAAAATGTGCCTGGCAAAACCCAGTCATGCCGTGGACTCAGTTTTACCCACCTCTCCCCTGTTGATACATTGAAGCCCTAACTCAGCATGACTGAATTTGGAGGTAACAATTAAAGTTAAGTGAGGTTGTAAGGCTGGGTCCCTAATCTCCTAAGGCTGCTGGCTTTATAAAAGGTAAGCAAAAAGCAATCAACTTCGCTACACTCCTCACCTCCTCCCTTTTATCTCACCTGCCTCTCCTCCCAGGCTTCACAGAAGAGCTGGACATGGCAAATAAGCACGTTTTGAGAAGGCGGAGGTCCTCAGGCTAGGAAGAAAGCCGCTGCTAGAAACCAAAAGTGCACCTTGACTTTTGAAGAGTTCCCAGCTGGCCTCTGCAACTAGGAGAAATAAACCCTCTGGTCTTAGCCATGAGGGCTATTTGTCACAGCAACCAAACTGACTGATGCATGCTCTGAAGCTTGAGTGTCACCAAGGCTCTCCAGGTTGCAACCTTCACTTCACTCACGGGGTCAATAGTAGAAGTCATGAACCAATATATTGGTTTTTGTAATGGCTCTGAAGTCTCTGTAATACGTATTTTATTCACCAAACAAATATTTCAAGGGTACCATTTAAACCAGTTTGTGAGTGAAATTGGCACAAGAACTGGGTACTTGGAGACCGTAGAAAACTTTGTGGACATTTCCAGCAATGAGGTGATTTCCATGGCTTCAGGGACAGTGTTCTGAGCATTCCCATGTCCATGAGCCAGCAAAGGGATGGCAACCATCTGGGCAGGTCAAAGCCACAGGATGGCGTTCACTCTCCTCTTCCTTTCCTGTCCCAAGCTGCTGTCCCTGGTGTTCTAGAACATCAGTATTCTACTTGTAAATCCTTGTGGTTTTCAAAATTCCACTCATTTTAGCAATGATAATTTTTTAAATTATTGCTCTTTTGCCAAACACACCAGGTGCTTTTTTTTTTTTTCCAGAATCATGCTCCTTTTTTCAACCGTTATTTTTAAAGTACTGACTTTGTATCGTGTACACATGTAAGAGCTGAAGTACATGGGTGGAAAAGAAGCAGAAGGTTCCTGTATTTGTAACACTCGTAATGAGCTGGGTGTATGAATCGGCCTTTCCAGACTTAACGGAGGAAGGATTTGTCTTGGGTCCTGGTTTCAGAAGGTCAATGCATGGCCACTTGGCTCCGGGCCCACAGTCAGGCTGCACATTCTGTCAACAAAGCTGCTTACCTAAAGACAAGCAGGGAGCAGAGAATGAGTGAAGGGGCCCGAGGACAAAGGACACTCTTCAAGACATGCCCACAGTCACTTGCCTCCTCCAGGTAGGCTTAATCTAGTCACGATGTGAGCACCCTCATGAGTGAGTCACTCACAGCTCAAGGCCCTGCCTCTGCATCCTGCTTCACTGAAGACCAAAGCTTTAGAACATGACTTTGGGAGACTATCACACATGCCAATCATACAAGACGGTAAACAAGTGGCGGGGGTGATATGTGAGCAGGTGTCACGTGTCTTGACGGTGTTGTTGGTCAACATTCAATTCTGCTGCTGAAGAGAACAAATGAGAGGGAAGAGGCTCGCATTTGAGCAACTATAAGCAAATTAGTACCGCGCTAGTCATGTTAGGAAGATTAAACAGAGTGTGTACAGGGCCAGGACACCTGATATGCAAGATACGATTAATGTATGTATGTGAGGCACTTCACATATATTGGGCAACTTGTTTTGAAATCATGACCCTTGGTGACCTTGGCTCAGAGAACACAAATTGACTCCCAGCAGCTCAGCAGGCTAATCGGCATGTAACAGCCATGGCCCTGGGTTGTTGGTTCCAGATGCTGTTTTTGTCTGTTGCAAGAGCTGGAGGATCAAGTTCAACTTCATTCCCAGGGATGATCAAGGCAGGCTGGTATGGCAGAGGGACGGCCATCTGACGCTGCTACAGGTTTGCTGTGCGCTGTGTTAAGCATGTGAAGTTATGCCCACTGTTCTCTCAGTGCAGATTTAAGAAACTTGGCATTTGATTATCTTCATTCAACTTGTGAGCCTTTTGTGTGAGACCCTGCCCAGCTATATGGACTTCCATCCTGCCATCCAACGCAATGAAGTAACTTCCCATGGGGCAACATCAAACAAAAATAAAACGCAGAAATATATGGGGGGGGGGATGTATTTAAATTGAGGGTTAAAAGAAGGCTGAACTGAAGTGATTTTTTTAAGCATGTTAGCTCAAATATTAGCACCAAAATTGAATGACACCAATTTATCTTTGGTATGAACATATCACTTGATGGAGAAACCAAAAAAGGGTAAGGTTTATATTTTCCAGGCAAGAGTGTCTGTAAATCGATTTTTCTTCCTGTGCCTGCTGGTGTGTTGATGTCTTGGAAAACACCAGAGCCACAAGAGAAGAGATAAATGCAAATGTCATAGACTAGCGAGCCAATTTCAAGCTGATATCAGGTCAGCAATTCGATATTATTTATAAATATGAATGCAGCTTGGTCTTACTTAACTCAGGGTTCTCAAATTTTAAAGTCCATACAAACTATCCAGTGCAAATAAAGATTCCTGACATGGGTGATGAGACTGTAATTCTACCAAGCTCCCAGCCTGGGCAATGTGACTTAGTTGGTAGCATGCGTGGAAACCTGAATTTGATTCTCAACACCATACAATCTAGGTTTAATGGCACACACCTATAATTCCAGCACCTAGGTAACTAGACAGAGATTAGCAAGATTGGGGGCCAGTGAGGATGGACCTCTCCCTCATGGGTTTAGACCATGCTTTCTGTTTCTCTGGTTGCACTGAAAAAGAAAACACTTCCTTGAGATTTAAATTGCTACATGAAAAAGCAGAGGTGTCTGGGCTTTGTTGGGGCCCATGAAGGGAAATCTACTTCCTCCTGCTTAAAAGAATAGAGTTGCTGAGGGCTTAGTGACAGAGTGACCCAAGCCTTTCAATCCTGGAACACTGGAGGTAGAAGTAGGTGGAACTTTGTGAGTTCCTGGTCTACATAGTGAGTTCAAGGCCAGCCAGGGCTGCACAGTGAGAGCCTGTCTCAAAAAAAAAAAAAAAAAAAAGGAGGAGGAGGGGAGGGGAGGGGAGGGGCCTCTGACATTCGAAGATATCCTAAACTGCTCCAAACATTATACACCATTGCCTCCTGTCAATAACCCGGTCTCATATCCACCCCCTACTCCAAGGAAAGATGGTTCATCAGAAGGCATGCTAAGGAAATAGGAGGGCTAATTATCCATGTAATGAAATAATGTCTTTATTCTTCCACAGCTCCTTTTTTGATGAAGCTATTTGTAGAGTGTCCATTGTGTGGCACTTTAGACTCTGGCTGCCTTTCTGGGAAAAGTATAACTTTTCCTTTTTCTTCTTTTCATCCTTTTTTTATTTTTTCTTATAGACACTGCCTTAAGCCTGGGCCTTTTCCTCTGACCCTTCGGGCTTTCTCAGGCCCTAACTTCAGCCCGGCTCTCTCTTTCTTCTCCTCCCACTCCCTGGTAACTGCCAAGATTCACAGCTCGGTTGCCCCATTGGTTTTTCTCAAACGCTAATAAAATTGTCCATGAGCATCCTTCAGAATCTTTTTCTAAATTATTTTATTAGTAAACTAAGAGCGCAAAAGAGGGAAGCCCCAATTTTCCTAGTAACATGCGGGGAGCATAAACGAACCCCTCAGTTTTCCCAGCATCAGCAGGAGAATCGGAAATTCAAGGTCCTTTTCTATATAGTGAGTTCTAGGCCGGTTAGGCTGTATGAGACCCTGTCTCAAAAACACAACAAAACTGAAACAAACAAACAAAAAAAAACCTTTGCAAACCTGCAGCTGCTGGCCTCCTTGTGAAGCGCGGCAAAGTCGCCTGTCACATGATGGGAAAAGGCTGAGAGATCACGTTCCAGTTCAGGCCCTGGATATTGAGTAAATAGCCTTGACCAGAAGTTGGACCATTGTCTTAAAGGAGGGGAGGGAAAAACAGCAAATTTTGTTAGTCGTCCTAGAAACCAAAGTTAGAAAAATTAGGTTACACTTTGGGTCACCTAGACCTGGTGGTGGAAAAAAAGGAAAACAGAAAGGAGGAAGAAAGTGGAAATTATTTGTCTTTTTGCCACAACCAGAGCAAGAATCCAGGCGGAGTTTGACCCTGTGGAGCAGACAACCAGACACTGGCCTTCCAGCACAGATAGTATCCCTGGGGACTGGGGACTGTGGCCTCAAGAACGAACTCCTGCTCCCAGACAAGGGAAGAGCCCATGTAAACAAAGACAGCCATCAACAGAAGCGGAGAAACTGGTTCCCTAGGTGGGCATGCTTTGAGAGAGCTCCCATTGACTCCTGTTTGCGAAGTGTTTATAGAGCGCATTAAGGGGTGAGATCACCAGAGGGGAATTTAATTATGTAAAAGCATTCCCTGGTGGCCAGGAGCTGAGCTGTAGAACACCACACCTGTGCGACTTCGGTCGGTCGGAGTATGGGATTCAGTCAATCCATACTCCAGTCCATCTTCGGTTGTCTTTGTAGGAAAGGAAATCCACACTTAGGAAGGGCCTGCGCTCCCCAAGCTGACTGATTCCTAAATTATGCTGAAATGGTGAGTCTCAGCATAGTCTCCTCTTATAGGATTGGATTTCGGAGCCAGGCTTCCAGGGCTGAATCGTAGCTCCACCTTACGGAGCATGCTGACCACCCTGACGAGTTTCATCCCCTTATTCTTCCTCAGTCTCTGAAAACACAGCACCAGTGACACCCACATCACACGCACCCCTCTTTTTAAATAAAATAAAGGCTAACTAAAACCTAAGAGCCATATATTGTGCTTAGAAAAATATTTGCAAGCTAAATAGTGTATAAATATTCAATAAATAAAATCGACTTGTGAACACATTTCCAAAAGTCTACAATTCTTCCTTAAACCTTCAACTCCATATTGCTGTAAACACGTCTGGGACAATCTGGGTGCTGGCCTTGTCCTCATCCCCAACCTTGGCAGTTTTTGTGCCCTGTCTGGCAGGCAACAGTGCCTCTGTACTAGGCAGTGAGGCTTGGCCCAGCTCAACTCCCCAATTTCTCCTCACTTTACCCGACAGCCTAAGTATGCCCGCAGCTGCTAGGCAGCAGCCCCCCTCCAGGGGTCTGAGTGTTGCTTTTTAACCCCATAAAGTTACCTTCTTCATTTGAAATAGTATCGCAAGGGTTTAATAGCTTTCAAGCCAGAAAAGGCGCTAAAATGTTTTCAGTGTGTATTGTCATTACTCAAATAAGTACCGTGTATGCAAATTTGGGATCTACATGGCCTTCCTGTCTGTCATGTGACGATGGACCCGTCTGCCAGGAAATAAAAGTCTGGGAATTCAGACTGCCGTTTTGTGTGTAGACTGAGGGAAGCTGGGTGTGTGTTCAACTCCCCGCCACACACACACACACACACACACACACACACACACACACACACACTCACCTTTCTGCGCCGAAACTAACAAGAGATCCTGTTTGTACAGCACACAACTTTGTGTGAGAGCAGAACCCAACAGGAAACCAGCCCAGGAAGAAGAGGGCTTTCTTTTCTCTCTTTTTTCTTTTCTTTCTTTTTTTTTAAATACTTGTATAATTTCTTATTGAATACAGATTCTTTTATTATACAGTGTATCCAGATTCCTCCCTCTACTCCTCCAAGTTCCTCCCCCTCTTCCTATCCCCCTCTGGATCCACTCCCTTTCTGTCTCTCATTAGAAAAGAACAGCCTTCTAAAAGATTAACAAGCAGATATGACAAAATAAAATATAACAAGGTGAGGTTAAAAACTTGCATATCGAAGTTGGACACCGCAACCCAACAGGAGGAAAAGAGTCCTGAAAGCAGGCAATAGGGTGAGACCCACTCATGCTCATAGTCAGGAGCCCCATAAAAAACACTATGCTAACAGATATAATATGCACACAGAGGACCTGATGCAGACCATGTTGTCCCTGTGCTTGCTGCTGCTGTCTCTGTGAGCGCACATGCACCTTGCTGAGTTGATTCAGAGGGCCTTGTTCTCCTGGGGTCCTCCAGCCACCCTCTGTCTCTTACACTCTTTCTACTTACTTTTCCACAAGATGTCCTGAACTCGGAGGGAGGGATTTGATGGAGACCCCCATTTAGATTCTCTCTCCACCGAATGTCTGGCTGTGGGTCTCTGAGTCTGTTCCTGTCTGCTGCCAGAGGAAGTCTCTCTGATGATGATTGGATAAGACACTCATCTGTGAGTATAGCAGACTCTCATTAGGAATCATTTTCTTTTAGACCAGTCATGTTTGGTCTTACCCTAGGACTCGGGGTTATCTAGTCTCTGGTGCTGGGTTACCCAAGCAGTGGTGGGAACAGGGAGTAGGCCTTACATCAAATCAGATATTGGTTGGCTGTTGTCACAAGTTCTGTGCCCCCATTGCTAGCATATTTTGCAAGCAGGACAGATTGTAGGTCAAAGGTTTTGTGGCTGGGCTGGTGTCCATGTTTCTATTTCAGTGGCCTGCAGAGGACCTTCCTGCACCGAAGAGACCAGAAAGTAGGGGTGAAGACTCCATGTATGTTCTAACTCCACTTCTCCATGTCAATGACATGACTTGGGTAGATGTTGTCCTCAGCAATGGAGCCCAGCTGTCAGCTTGCAAGGTACAACTCTTTGTCTTAGCATCAGCTTGGGCTGTTTGGGGATTTCCACAGGACCCTCTTGGCCAACAACTCAATTGAATGCAACCCAGTCCCTCCACTGGAAGCCTTGCCTGACTACAAGAGACGGCCAGCTGAGACTCAGTATCCCCCGTTACTAGGAGTCCTCATTAGGATCACACTCATAGAATCCAGGAAGTTTCCACTCATTAGGATTTCACACCACCCCCCAAGTGCTCCCCAATTCCAGCTGTCTCTGCCCAAGCTTTCTCCCTCCATCCTCCCCACCACCTGATCCCTCCTGCTCCCATCCCCACCCTCCCCAGTCCACCTGTAAAATCTGTTCTATTTCCCCTCCAAGGGAGATCCGTGAGTCCCCCTATGGCCCTCCTCATTACCTAACCTCTCTGCATCTACAGATTGTAGCTTGGTTATCATTTACTTAACTGCTAATATCCTCTTGTAAGTAAGTACATAACATATTTGCTGAAAAGAGGGCTTTCGGTGTGCCAGCCCAATGTCACAAAGTCAAGGACAGAGAGGTTGGCTTGGAGTTGGGAGCTAATATCCAACACTCCATACAGGAGGATAGATGCTGTCATATTGGCTTTGAAGGTGTTGGATTAGAGCAGATGTGTGAAAGTCCTTACAGAATGTGCTGCGTTCAAAACATAGCACAATTGAGAAAGGCCAGGCAAAGCAGAGGGTTAATTTATGCACGAAGCTCTAACATTTGGAAAATGGAGAAGAACTTGGCCCACCAGAAGGTCAGTGTGGCCGAAGTGCAAGGAGACGCCTCTGTGAATCTGGAGAAGAGCTGGATCTCCTGTTCGCTCTTTATTCTGGGGTCAGCAGGAAGCTGTGGGGAGACTTAAACAATAGAAGGGCATACCCCACTTGGACTTGCACATGAAAGTGGGTGACAGAGCAGACATCTGTGGAGGTGTTTAGTAATTGCCATGTGTCCCTCCAGAGGGAGAGATTCATATAACGAGATTAAATTATAATGGCTAAGATGGAGACAAGAGCAAGAAAGCTAAGTAAAAACAGATTTGAGATCTATTTTGAAAGTACAGTGCAAGATTGGGCTATTGGTTGCATTTAGAAGGAGAAAGAAAGGGCTTAAGACAAAAATAAATAAATAAATAAATAAATAAATAAATAAATAAATAAATAAATAAATAAATAAGTGAATGAACCCAAAGGGATGTCAAAGAGTGAAAGAGATGATAAGATCTATCAAAAATCCATATAACATGTAAAAGAACTGCATTCTTAAAGGAACCCACACACAACCGCAAGTGATAAGTTACAGATGTGTCTTTGCTAAGAACTGAAATTTCTACTCACAACTACTTGAAGTACGGCTACAGGTGTTCTTCCACAAGCATCCCTGCCGTAATTCACTGTGTTAAAATAGTGAAAGCCTCTGGACTTTAGATATGGGGGCGGGGAATCTGTAGGAATACTTATAAAATCGCAAGGCATATTCAAACTAGTTCTTTGGTTACAATTATATCTTAGAGAAAAAATAGCCTTCATGAGAGATGATTGACAGTTTTTCAGAGGTGATAGTGACTCAGAAAATGGCAGAGTCAGGATTAGAATCCGCAGGGAAATAAGAGTTGAATTCTCAGGTGAACTGGGCAGAAGAGGTAATTATCCAGAGACAAATTACCTGACTTCAGGCTGCAATGATCACACCTGGCTATCTATGTCACACAGAGACACTGAATCAATGCTTCACGCTTTCATTTATCTGTGTGAATATTATCGTGGGCATCATAATAAAAGTCTGAAATCAGGTATATCAAAATGTTATTATAGGCAAACCTCCCACAGCCTTCACTAGAGAGTGTGAACAGACAAAGAAAATCTATGACTGCCAAGTAAAAGTGAAATCTTCTAATTTGATTTCAGAAGGAGTCCCTTGATATTAATAATGGCACATGATGTTATTAACTCCGACTAAGAAAGGGCTTTTAATACAGAAACTGTCCCTCACTGAATTTGACCATAGAAAGAGAAGCTTCTATCTAACACTTGGTTTTCAATGTCTAGGATTAGTCTAAATTCTGTCATGTGAAAATCCTAGCTGACAATGCCTGCAAATGAAAAAACTGGGCCTCCAGGAGATTGACTGATGACATGTCAAAGCTGTGTTGATGGAGACAGTGACAAGCAATTTAGGAGACCTACTCTTTGGGCTTGAATTCCCCTCTGCTGCCACAAAACTTCAAGCTGCATGGTCTCAAGATAACGTCAATGCCTGAGCCTTGGGTGGACACCAACCGCATTTGGGTGATGGTCTACTCAGTCTTGGTGATGGAATGAGCCCATGTTTACAGTGGGCTTAGGGCGTGATACCTAAGTGTGAGGGCCAACAGACCTGGATGACGTGGCAGGAGGTGGTGCTCGTTTGGGTTTTAACTCTTCATAATGAACCACAGGAGGATGTGGTAACTCGATAAACAGGGTGCCCTATGAGCAAAGGTGTTTTTTTTTCTTTATGCAACCATTCCAGGACGTACAACAAAGAATATGAAGAAACCTGGCCTGCAAAGGACTTGGAATAGTTGGATCTTCTTGGCTATCACTTTTAACTCAGCTAGTGAGTGACATCTGCATTTGAGATTGTTCTAATTCTAGCCTTCACTTGACTGAAAGAAGAACACTGTGGACAGCCTGGGCTACACAGTGAGACATTGTGTCAAAGATCAAACAAAAAAAATTCTACGAATAAAATACTACTTCAAGATACTGGAAAACCCCTAAATGATAGCATGCATTTTAACATAATTTTATATTCATCAAGAACTATCTCATGTAAAACAATTTTCACTCGGCTTGTAGAAGGAATATAAAAACCCTGAAGTGTGATTGTATATGTTGAAGTCACTTGTAGCCTTTCACAAGAGATGAATGTTGATGAGAAAGTAAATGCACTAAACTAGGAGGCAGTGGTATTGAATGCCACAAAAACTAAAACTTTCTAGTCTTGGGCTCTAAATTATAATTCTAGAATTACAACCCAGTAGACATCTTTTTTAAGACCCAGGTATGTTCCAGAAATTGAGACATCACTTGGGACCTACCTATATGGGAAAGTGTGTGTGTGTGTGTGTGTGTGTGTGAGAGAGAGAGAGAGAGAGAGAGAGAGAGAGAGAGAGAGAGAGAGAGAGAGAGCGAGCTTATAGGCAGAAAATTTTAGGCAAGGAGATAAATTGAACTACCCAGGAGGTATTAGAAGCTGATAACACAAAAGCTGGGTTCTAAGAATGGAAAATCAGGAACAGGAGCAAGAGAAGTTATAAAGAAAAATAAAATGCAGGTCTTGGTGGCTGAGTCTATTCCAAGATTGGCATACCCTTACTGTTGTGTTTTCAAGTCTTGTGGCAAGTAGGGAGTGGAACCAGCAAACAGAAAAGTTGGACATCTTTGGGTGAGTATGAAGATCTGGGGTCCGTTCAACATGAGGTGCTATGAGGTTACCCTGGTGAACTGAAGAACTATCAGCTCATTGACCCTTAAGTAAATACTACCTAATGCATCTTCTATCAAGAATTTCTCAACGTTGGTTTTTTAAAGTAATCATACCATCCCCTTCAGACCTATTTAATCATTTGCAAGAGTGAGCTCAGGATTCTGTGCTATTGGGAATGCCAGTCACGGATGTTAGGATTTCCCTCATGTTTCTTTATTCTGATAGGTGGAGATGATTCTGTTGTCACACTATGCGAGACACAGTATCCTCTAAGGAACTGGGTCATGGACAATCATTTATGCATACATTATGGTAATAACAATATATAGTAAATATCAACCAATCATGAGATACAGCTCTGGCCCTCATCAACTTAAAGGTATCTAAAACAGTGTTAACACGTGGAGGCTACACTGGAAATGTGCTTAATTGTGTGTTCTAACCCTGCTTTGCTTACTCATTTTAACTCTTCTTGGCTTTCACTTCCTTCCGTTTTCTTTAAATGTCAGGAAGAAGATGAGAAGGCATTCAGAGAAGGATCTAATTATAGCACACAAACGTTCTGGAGAAGGCTGGGAGAAGAGGAAGCCACACGAGGAGGCGTCTGAGGGCAGAGCTGACCCTCTGCCCAGAAGAGCTAGAGAGAAGTGCAGACACTGCCCAGAGCTATGATCACTGTGTCTTGTAATTGCTTCACTTGTGGACCGTCTACTTACGTACCGTTGGAAGAATTTTCCCCAACTGCTCCTCTTCAGCTTAGCCCGTGGAAAACGATCAAGTCAGAACAAAAGACCTTCAGGATCCTTCCAGCTGCTTCCTGTGTTTTGGCTTCTCACAACTACTTTAAAATGGCCTTTACATTGATGCTATGGATTCCAAACATATAGAATAAAGCATGCTTTCTTTTGTGGGATTGAGAACCCTGGCTATTATTTTCCCCCTCCTGAGCTGGCTTTTCCTTTCATGCAGGGACATTTCCAAGTAAAAATGACCCTGTCCTGGCATGTTTGACCCCACCTCCTCCTGTATGAACAGTTACTACATGTTGTACATGACTTTAAGCCAATCAGTTATGAGTTAAACAGAGATGAGTGAAGCTTGGACCTTATCCCCATAGTCTCATCTTGCTGGGCTTGGTGGACAACTCTGGACATAGAGTTGTAGGGGAATTCTGACTTCTCCATCTGCCAGCTTTGGCAAGTTATTTCAGCTAATCAGAGCTCCAAGGTTTTCCTGCACA